ATTGCTTCTCTGTACCACACCTAGTTCCAAAACAGCTCATTGTCCAATAGGGGCCAGTGGAAATGTGCAGGGATGAGCAAAACGTAGAGTGCTGCTTCACTATGAGGACATTTCTGCTCGAAGCACTGTGGTAAGAATTTAGATGAAGAGATAGCTAGGAAATAGTCTTTCTCTTGGTAGCCATGTGCCTCATGAATAATATGGAGCTCAATTACTACAGAAGTAGGACATTAGGGAATGAGCAGACTCTGCATTATATAACACTTTGTTCCTTCTGCCTGGATGTCTACACAATTTTCTCTGTAGACTTCGAAGTCACAACGTTAATGTTAGTATATCTGGAGGTTTCTTTTCTCATCAATTAGGCATATAACTTGGTAAGCCCTTTCAATAAGTAGAATGTTGTTTTGTGGCTCAGTAATATTTCCATTTAGTATTTTTTTAATGTTTTATTTATTTTTGAGAGAGAGAGAGAGACAGCGCGAGCAGGGGAGGGTCAGAGAGAGAGGGCTGAAACAGGCTCCAGGCTCTGAGCTGGCAGTCAGCACAGAGCCCAACGCGGGGCTCAAACCCACGAAACGCGAGATCATGACCTAAGCAAAAGTCGGACACTTAACGGACTAAGCCACCCAGGCGCCCCAGTATTTTTTTTAAAGTAGAGAAAAAGGAAAGGTTTTTCATAAGTGGTTACTTTAATTTTTCTCTATTCTTTTTTAGTTTTTCTATTTCCTGTATTTTACTGTAGAATTGTTTCTTTTTTTTAAACTTATTTATAATAAACAGTATTTGTTTATGGTAAAATAATTTTTTCAATCAGAATTCTAAATCAAAATCTCAAAAAAGAAACCATTTTCACTATTCTTTTTTCCAGTCCAACTCATCGACTTAATCAGTGTTAAATTTTGTACTTCTCTGTGTAATTCTAACAAACATGTCTGTGTATATGCATATGCATAGTACACATGTGCTCTTTTTATTTGAGGATATTCTCTTTTGTTGTTTTTTTATTTAATAATACATTTTGCATTTTAATCCTTTAATGCTTACTTCCAATTTATTTTTAGAGTAAGTTAGTTTCTGACCACTTCACTGTCATTTGATATTTATATTGTTCCCAGTGCTCTATCACTATACATACATTTTTCTGCATTCTTATTCATGCAAATGGTAGTAAGGTAAATTTTAACCAGATAATTGCTAAGTCAAAGTGTGAATGTTTCCATTTTTGTCTATGTTTCCATTATGTAAACATAATTTACAAAGTTTCCTTTCAAAAAGGAAGCTTCTACCAATTTATCCTTCCAGTCTTTACTATGAAACCCCAACAATACAAAGATATTACCAGCATTTGTGACTGTTGCATCTAGAATTTATTTCATTGTGAAGGGTGGTTTGGAGATTTTTATTATTTTTATGGATATATAATCAATTGCCCTAACATTTTGATTAAACAGTAAATGACTGGACATAGATTTAGATATAGATATCGCTATTTCTCTCTTCTTAGAAATCAGTGTTTCTTGAAGTGTTGCTAGATCTCTAGAGGGACCCTGAGATCTTTATTGGAGGCTTATGTAGAAAGTACTATTTTTTTTACTGTTGCACTTGCAGTGATGGTGCAAAGCAATGGTGAATAAAACAGGTAGCACCTTAGCGCAAAACAAAGCTGTGGCATTAAATTGTACAATCAGTCTGTATTCTTCTCTACTTACTTCACTAACATGTACCCAACAGTGAAAAATGAAAACAAACAAAAGGCAATGTCACTAAAAATATCATCAATAAATCAGTAAAAATAATCAAATTTAAGATCTTCAAAGTTGAGTACTGTATTTTTAGTATTCTGTGTGACAAAATAAAGAAATCCCATAAAACATTTCCACTGCCTCCTATAGTACAAAGTTTTCCTCAAGGCCTTGTGTGATTGAGTTTTGTACTGAACTTGAAACTTTTTTCATGGAATATAAAAACATGACTGTTAATACACAGTATGGTAATTCAGACTTGGGTATTTGGCAAACATTTTTTTTAAAAATCAGTGAAGTTGAGCCTCCCATTCCAAAGAAAACACCTTAGCCATATTTGTTACTAGTGGTAAAATTCATTTTCAAAAGAAAAATTAGAATTTTGGAAAATCTGCCCACATAAGCATGATGGCTTTCCAACACTTACAGACTTTTCTGAAGAGATTGGCAGTGAAATTATTAAATATGTTCTTTTTTATTGGTATTGTGTGATGAAATTTGTGACTATTTGGAAGATCTACATAAGTCAGTGAGTTTATACTTTCAAATGACTAATGCATAATGTTAAAAATCATGTATGAGTGAGAGATCCATTCAAAGTGCAAGATAAACCAATGGATTTTAATGTAACAGAATAGAAAAGGTTCACTGGTATGGTTTTAGAATTTACTTTGCAAACATTAGGAAACTACCATTGTAGAGTTTTAGTGTAGTATCAAAGGATATTACCCACATTCATCTGAAAAGGCTATGGAAATACTGTCCCTTTCCAAATAAATATCATTGTGAGGTCAGAATTTTTTTCATTTATTTGAAACCAAACAGCTTGTAGCAATAGATTGCTTGTAAAAGCTAATATGATTATCTAGTTGGTTATTTTTCACTAAACCAGATATTAAAGAGATTTGTAGAACTATGAAACAATTCCATTCTTGTGGCCCTTGGGTGACTCACTCCGTTGAGCATCTGACTCTTGATATCAGTTCAGATCTTGATCCCAGGGTAGTGGGATCCATCTCTGTGTGGGACTCCATGCTGACTGAAGAGCCTGCTAGGGATGCTATCTCTTTCTCTCTCCCTCTCTCTCTCCCTCCGCCCTTCTCCCCAGCTCATATTCTCTCTCACTCTCTCTCAAATAAAAATAAATAAATAGATTAAATATAAAACAGTTCTATTCTTTTTACTCAATTGTTTTGTTTCAGAAAATACAGTCTTGTGAGTAAAAATGTTCCTTGTGTTAATGTGTCATCAATTATTAATATAATTTTAATTGAGTTTATAATACATAGTTTAACATACCTCAGTTTTAATTTGTAATACAATGTTTATGAATGGATAGAATCAATCTAAATGAACAAAAGTTATTTAAGGTCTCCTATAATTTTTAAGAGTATAAAGGAATTTTAAGACAAACAAGGTTGAAAACTGCTGGTATACATCATAGTTTTTTCCTCTCCCTGTTTTTCTCTCCTTTCTGTTTCTGTCACACACACGCACTCTTACTTTCTGTCTCCCCTATTGTGGAATGATTTCTAGTATTGTACCAGTATAATGCAACTTAATCATTGTATCTTAATAACATTTTTAATTTCTGAAAGTGCTAGGGTATTTCCACAGTTGTTTTTATCCTGAACTTACTTTTTATGACACGAAATATATATTATTCAAAATCAATTTTAGTATTCAGATAATCACAGAAATTCATCTTAGTCGGAATGCTTTATTTATATTAGATTACATCTTAGAGACATTACTTATCTTAGAATTAGCATCTGTCTATGCAAGAACAAAAATATGCAATTTGTTTATTTAATCATCTTTATTTGTTTACTTGTAGATTTTGAAATTTGAATAAAAACAGAACCCTAAATATTTCCTTGGAAATACTACTTGTCAAACCAGTGCCCTTGTTACGTCTTGTCTTTTTATGAGCATATTAGTAATCGGCTTATAAATTGCTTAAAGTCAGGAATCTTGCCATTGACTTTTGTGTGTATTCCATACACACAAATAAATATTTGATACTTACGTTTGTGAATTACTCTGTTTTTATAAATCTCTAAGTAACATTTCCATTTCATTCACAATTAAGGACAAACATGATTATATTCATACTGATACATTAATGATGTGGAGAACTTATTAAAAATACTTTTAACATCATTAGGTTATAAATGTTAATTAACATATGAATATATATATCTAATGACAGTATTATAGGATTTCAATTTTAAAGGCTCGGTCTTTAATTTTTTTCTTCTTATATGTTTAACCAAGGATTTCTGTCAACCATTTGTCAACCTAAAAATAAAAACAAATGAAGAAAAATATTCTGTACAGCAGGAACAAGAAGAGAAATAAAGCCAAATCGTTTTTATTTCCTATTTTTTATCACTTTACATTACCATCATGTGGTTTTGTTCAGGTTTTATAAACTAAAATACACAAAATTTGAATTGAAAGTCTTTATTGCTAACCCAAACTAAGTCTGTTATACACAGCTGTGTTTAAAAGAATGCTATTGTTTATAATGGAATGTTTTAGAATTTCAAAGTGATTTGGCAGTTTAATAAAAGTCCTCTCTGAAAAAGTTTGCACATTTTTTGAAAATAATTGATATAAAGTGAATTCTATTTATTAAAACAGATAAATCATTTGTGGACTTATCAAAGCAATGCCATTAAAAAAAACTGTCAATAACCACGTGTGTGTGTGTGTGTGTGTATAGATAGATAGACAGGTAGATTATATAGATGCATAGTCTCATTAAGCCCTTAGAGTAACATGCTTAAATTATCCAAATCAACTAAGAAATTTCAAATAAAATAATGAAGTATGTCTGAAAAGAAAGTGAGAGCCTACCTGTGTTAAATAAACAAGAAGTACCTTAGAGAGTTTGAAGAATATGAAAGAAAAGTTTAAATTCTCAACAAAAAGAGAAACTAATCCATATTTCCAATGTATTACATATATTCACCTCCTTTTATATTTATGTTGTCTTACACACTGATAAGTCTATACATGAATTCTATGCAATTGATAAGAATTGCATACACTACTTACACTATACTATAATGACATTGTACTCAAATTTTTATAATTCAGTTGTGCGTATAAACTTAAAATTTTTCCAATAATTTGCCAGGAATGGCTTATAGCATCTCTGAAAGCACACTCTTCAAATGAGTAATGGCTATTTGATTTTTCTTTGAGAAAACCAACCTAAAGTAACAATCTTTGTTGATGCTTGCTCAGATCAGGTGGACCAAAACAGCAGGAAGTGCCTCTGACAGATTCCAAGACTCAAGTGTCTTCAATGAGACTTTGAGGATTACAAATATTCAGCGACACCAAGGAGGCCGGTATTACTGTAAAGCAGAGAATGGCTTGGGGTCCCCAGCGATAAAGTCAATCAGAGTGGATGTGTACTGTAAGTAACTTACCTAGAAAACTATGATTAAGTCTACTATGGATTCCTGTCTGAAAACTTGAGATCTTTTTTTCTTTTTTTATCTTACGTCTGTTGAGAAAAACTAGGGTTCATTCCCCACAGATGGCATTCTGCTTAGTTGAGGATAAAAGTGTGTAAGATAATTATAGCTTATTTAAGATATTTCCTGAAGAAAGAATCTCCATTATAAACTTTCATACGTTTTTATGATAAAGTAATACATTTTCATCATTTAAGAACCAGAATAACTAGAAGACAATAAGGGTTACTGATGATAATCCCACCCATGATCGTTAGGGTTTGAATGTATATACTTCCTATCTTTATATATAAGTATATAAATGCATTTCTAATTACATAAAGAAAAGATTATGCTATGCATACTGTAACTTGTTAACTTTACCTCTGTGTGAAATCAGCTATTCTTGTTTTTGGAAAGGCACATCATGTAAGTGGTATTTGAATTGGGTTGTGAATGACCAAAATCCACCTCTGTTAAAAGTAATCAGTACCTTGGGCAATCCAGTGCCACTCAGAAAGTGTTTGTTGATTTATTTTGGTTGCCAGTCTCATTTTTCAGCTTTTTGCCGTTAGTAAATTTACTTAAAATGTTCTTGGTCTTACCTTCACCAAAACAAATCAAGGACCTACATTCACTTCATCCTTTTGCACAAGTTTATCCATCATTCCATTGTTTTTTTTTTTTATGAGAACTTGCATTTTTTTTTTTTTTTACTCTCTACTAATTAGAATCCAAAAGTTTTTTTTCTCCTCAAAGTAATTCAGATACAGTAACAAGTGAGAAGTTCCTGTTTTTCTACCTATCTTTTTCACTGTGTCCCTTTCTTTTGTTTTTTGATGTGGAAAAAGTGATGCATTGTTAGGGAAGTGACTAGAATTATACATGATTTATATATTGCACCATTTGCTGGATCTTAATTTAGTTATTCAGGTGACTGGAAAGTACGTAACAGGGCTGCATTTGTGATTCATCTTCCACTCTTGGATGCTTGGTCCCTTCCTGGGAAAGAGAAGAGAGAAGTCCTATCCCATTCTCTCTGACATCTCTAGCCCCTTTGACATCCACTGATATAATTTAGGCATCTGCATCCTATGTGCATCCATGTGCATCTCATGGCACACAGGTTGGCCTTACTCATATACCACCTGACCACAGTATAACCTCTGGCCCTTCTCCTGATCACATATTTCTAGTTGTGTTCCGTGAAAACAAAACAAAACACTATTTTTATATATAATCTTTTAAAGTTTTTATTTAAATTACAGTTAGTTTGACATACAGTGTGATATTAGTTTCAGATATACAGTTTAGTCATTCAACACTTACATCATCTGTGCTCATCACAAGTGCCCTCCCAAATCTCTATTGCCTACTTTACCCATCCCCCACCCACCTCCCTTCTGGTAAATACCAGTTTGTTCTCCATAGTTAGGAGTCTGTTTCTTGGTTTGCTTCTCCCTCTCCCTCCCTCCTCCCTTCCTCTCTGTCTCCACCCCCTTTTGCTTCTTTCTTTTGTTTCTTAAATTCCACATATGAGTGAAATCATACGGTATTTGTCTTACTTTGACTGACTTATTTCACGTTGCTTAATACTCTCTATCTCCATCCATACTGTTGCAAATGGCAAGATTTCATTAAAAATTACATATGAACAGCCATTCTAGAAAACAGCATTGATGGTTTACATTAATTTATAATTAAACTAAATTTAACCTAGTTTACCTAATTACATAATTACGTACTTCTATTATATAACTTTCTAGAGTACATACCTGTGCTTTTTTATTCTTATAATTGTGGTCGTGACGTTTTAAAACACACAATTTCAATACCTTAACATGATTCTAAGATCTAAGAAGCTCTGTAAATTGAATGAGTATATTTTGTTTTGCTTTGTTGGGCATTATTGGTAAAGTTTTTTGGGGAAACCTGATGTGAACTAGTTTGTGTGGCAACCTCTGATCTAAAATTAATCACATAGAAAAACAGAAAAGACTTTATGCTCTTTATTTACCCTACTTTGTATGAATAATCATATGTTTTACTCAGGAAATTAGATATTTGATTACACAGTATTGCCACAGAGCCTGCTGGGTATGTTATATATGTAGTACATGGTATATGTACCATATTATCTTATAAAAAGCTGAAATATTCTTAAAAAACATTCCCCAAAGGTTTTGAATAACAGATTGTAACACTCATTACCACCACAATAGGTTTGATAATAATTTAAACAGTTAAATTGCTGGGTTAAAAACCAAAGACAAAAGGGGAACTGACATTTTTAAGGACATAAGAAATATTATTTTTCCCCTACTGTTCTGCTTTAAACCCACTCTGCTGCATCTAGACATCTCTTGCTGTCTAGACTCAGTTGCACATTTTTGTAGAAATGACAGCACTGTTCCCTCCAGAGCTCCACAGCCCTGTTAGTCTTTTAAGACTTGGGTCACCTTCGAGGCAGCCAGGAATGAAAGCACTGGCTTGTTTCCTTTTTCTTTGACTTCCTTTGGGATTTCCCCCCTACAACCGGGACCTGACAAACATATTATTCTGTCTTTTAAGGGAAATGGCACTGTGATACATATCAGAGTGAAGTACTTCCAGCACTTTTCTTTGTGCCCGCGATTTATTAGAAAGCTATTGAAAATTATATTATTTGAGAAAATAACATGTATTAAGTTATGGACCATATGAATAAATGTGACATTGCTTGAATATAAATTTTCCAGATAATGCCTTACCTTCGGGAAAGATCTCTGGTTTTGGGATCTAGATTTATGTTTTAAGTGGTTATGCCTGTTCTTGAAGGACTGGATAAATAAAGGCCTCTAGAGAGTAAATTGTTAAACATTTTAACTCATGAGAATACTTCACAGTCGAGACAGCTAGGCCTACTTGAGGAATCTATGTGTTCCCGATATAACCTTGACTGAAGACTACAGTTTTTAGGCTTAAGTATGTGTTAAAGCAACTTTATTTCAAGTACTTTTGCTCTGTTTTAGGAAATGATAAAATAACAGCACCGATTTTCCTGTTTGTATCCATGGTTTTAGGTCATCATCTAAACTGTAGATTTCTTTTTCTTTTCATAACTGGCTCTCTGAGTGGAACTGTCATCAATGCCGACAGAACATGGAATACAAAAAAAAAAAAAAAAAAAAGAACATGGAATACAAAATATAGAAAAACCTGCAGATAAGGATTAAATTTGCAGTAACAAACAGGCTGGTGATGGCTCAAATTTAACAAAAATTCTAATAAATAATATTATAATTCAGCCTTGAATCCCCTGTCCCCGTAAATTCTCTCGCCTTGCCCGAGGGCCAAGATAATAGATTATCTCCAAAATGTGCCCAACAGAGTATTAATTTAAAGCCACCATTTTTATGGAGAGTTTTCATAACAGTGAAAATGTACATCTTTTATTAAACCCTGTATTCTAATCATAAATTTCTAGAGTTTAGAGCTAATACCAACCTAAAATAAAATTTTGTGATTGCTCATCATTACTTTGATGAGGAAATTTAGTTTTTGGAAGAGGAACCTGCTGCAATGCTAATTGATATAAAATGAGGTGGGTTTATTTGATAGATATTTTGAAATATTTGTGACACTGTATTAACATTTTGATCAACTGGGGAAGATTTATTAATCTCAATTAGCACTTTCTTCCCACAAAATTTTCTGAAATTTCTTGTAGTAGAAATTGGACCATATAGGTTTTATAAAGCAGCTACCAAATGTTGTTTTATCTATTTATTTATTGTAAGGTTTTTGAGTGAAAAAAGACTCCAAGGCAAAAGGATCTGCAGAAGGAGTTTTATTGCCCGCACCCTCTGCCAAGGCGAGAGAATTTACGGGGAGTTTTATTGCCTGTATCCCTGGGCTAGGTTCCATGACTCCAGAGAGAGGGGAGTCGGGAAAGTCACGGCCTGGTTGGGGGTGGTGAGGGTTTTATAGCCTGTTAGTGCGGGTTCAGATAACAGGGGTAGTCTCTTGACTGGAAAGTCCAGGCTTGAAAGGTTTAAATTTCTGTTTCCCGCCGATGTAATAACGGCCACTGATGTAGTGGTGGGAAGGTCAGCCATCTTAAGAAGGTCAACCATCCTAAGGAGTGGTGGGAAGGTCAGCCATCCTAAGAAGGTCTGCCATTCTGTGGTGTCTCTGCCCCACCTCTCAGCCGGCCCAACATTTATTTTTTACTATTTCAATGAAGAATACTATTTTCTCTGTGTTACTATTTTGACAAAATGTAACTATATTCCTTAACTTATATGACCTATCACTTGTTTTTCTAAGAATTATGAAAGTATCCCAAGTGTTCTATGAGCTACAATTTCTTAATAAAAAGTATATTTTATAACAGGGAGATTTCATAACCATGCAATGATTTAATTGTTTTTCTAAAATCTTCCCTAGTCATTTATATAATATTTCTGATTAAAAGCTAATCAATTGCAATCCATCTTTTGGTAGGTTATATAACTTCTAAGAGTTTGAAAACTATGGTTACATGCTTGAAAGAAACTTGTAGAATTAGTACTACTTAAAGTTGCTGATTTAAACATACATTTTCTTTATGTCTTCTCTCTAGAACCATGCTAAAACAATAGTAAAGGAATAAAACAACAACAAACACATACAGGATAGAGAGAATTGGAGAGGAGATGAAGGAAAAACAATTTTGAAGTAAAAAAATCAGATCAGGAAATGGCCACTGCTTACTTAGCATACTAAAGAAAGCTTAAATCAAAGCCATCAGTTTAAAGGACAGAACTGGCATACTCATGCAGTAGAATCCTTAAAAAGCTCAGCAATTGGAGACACCACTTAGCTCTTCAGTGTGAATGTAATTTAGTCTAAAAACAGAAGAATTGGCCAAAAGTCTATACAGGAGTTACATACCCAGATCTCCTTCCACATTTCACATAATTCTTTGCCTTACCACATC